ATTTGCTTATTAAGTAAAAATTCATCGCCATATCAAATAGTATAGCATACTGAAGTTTCGCTGCATATAAACAACAACTCGTTGTTTTACGAACTTTAAAAAATAAAAATGAATTTTTTGGAATTTTCAAAAAAATCTTTAACTCGAAAATTGACCACAATGTCAAGTTCTAACGACCTTTGCGATATAAGTGAAAAATGCGTCTTATGTTTGAATCTAGTTATATCCAAAATTCTAAATCATTTGGTAAAATAATTAATGAGAAAAAAAATAAAATGTAGAAAATTTTACAAAACAATTCAACCTCAAACTGCTCACCAATTTGAAACATAAAAGACATCAAAAAATATATGAAACTGTTTTAAATTGATTGTATTTTATTAAAAAAAAATCAATATCTTGTCGGGTTTCCTTTATTTTTTAAAACAGCATCCACTCTTTGTGGTATACTATCTATTAATCTATTAATTCTCACTGGAATAGTATTAAACCATTCCTCTTTTAATAAATTGAATAGTTCTATTTTATTTTTTGGTTTTGGGTTTCTCATTCTAAGTCTTCTTTTTAAATCCTGCCATAAATTTTCAATAGGATTGAGGTCTGGACTTTGAGCAGGCCAAGGGAGAAGTATAACACGATTTTCCTCTTTCCATTGATTTGCCACAGCTGCTTTATGACATGGTGCATTATCTTCTTGAAAAATAAACACACGACTATGACCATAACCATGACCACCATCACCACCATTATCATCACCACCATCAACACCATGATTCACCTCTCTTAATTCATTAATATAAGGTAGTAAATTTTCTCCAAGATCTTCAAAAATTAACTTGGTTGAGTATTTTGTATGACATCTTGGCAATTATTTTACTAAATGATCTAAAATTTTGGATATAACTAGATTTAAACATAAGACACATTTTTCATTTATACCGCAAAGGTCATTAGAACTTGACATTGTGGTCAATTTTCGAGTTAAAGATTTTTTTGAAAATTCCAAAAAATTCATTTTTATTTTTTA